AGCTGTCTGTGCATGCAGGAATACCTGTCAGAGTCAGTGTGATTTCTGTGGTGTAATTTTTGGGGCAGAGTTTGACAAGCATTTCTTTCTGCAGCAATGCCATATCTGATGCTACCTGTCTTGGTGTTCTCACTTGTGCTACTGGAACTGTTCACATGGCAGTTGGGTGGCTTAGATCAGAGAACTTGATTCAGGTGAAAAATAGTCCAATGCGAAGTTTTTTTCCTCCATTTTTTCTACTCTCTTATATAGTGTGTTGCCTAATTTTGGCAAGGTAAGGGAAACTGTGGTGAGAGAACAGAAACAAGACCCTGAATTAGGCACTGCCTCTGAAAGAACCAGTTATGGAACTAGAGCCCTGAAAACAAATTGAGTAAGATTCCCCTAAGTTATAAAAGTGATGGTAATTTTCTGAGTTTTATTTCCCATGATCTGTGGTATCATCCAGAACTGCAGTCAGTCCACCTTCTGCCTTACTCAGTGCTGGGAAGTCACTTGGGTACTGTGATGATGTGAGGGATGAGTGACTATCAGTGCTATCCACATCGTGCTGGAGCTCTTATCTCCTGAAACCTCACCTAGGTCTTGACAGGTGGCCTGGGATTCTGGCACCCAACGTATGTGAAGCAGATGAAGGAAGGGAAGTCATATATCCGAATGATCTCACTATTTAAACAAATTTTGTGAAAGAAAGCATGTAACTTCATCTTTACTTTATGAAAATGAACCTGAGTATGTGCTCAGTGTAAGGTGCTCTTTCTGAGCTCGTGAGTTCTGTGTGATCCTTCTGTGTTGTACTCCTAGAAAATATTAGTGCATTACTTTACAACAGATACCAGAGTGGTTGAGCTTGTGCCCTCTATGGTGGTTTTGGTGGGCCTGCTGCCTTTCCTGCTGTGACCTTGATGGGACTGGGTTGTTAAAGACAGACTTGGGGGTCCTTAACGGCAAGCAACAAGAATCGGCTGATGGAGGCAGCTATTAAGGGCAGCACACAATGTCCAAGAGATCAGACTTTCCACACTGTCTGTGTCTGGGTGAGTGCTTAGGCTAGTGCCCCATATATACAAGAACATCCCACAAATACTGGAGAGGACAGCAATGTTAGTCCTCACAACCAAAAGAGGTGTTTCTAAAAATAGATAATTCACGGTAGGCAAAAGATTGAACTCTTCCTAGGTACAAATCTTGCTACTGTGTGTCATGTTCATTTTAGTGCCAAATTGAGGCTTTCTTGACCTATGTTCAGTGTAATTAAAAACAAATTCCTCAAATCCAAGAACTGTTTGGAAAGGATTCTGTAATGCTAGGGTAGTGTGTATAGACATGTTCTCATGCCTGCCCTAATTGCATAGATTTGGTTGTAGGAGCTGCTGGACTCCAGCACTTCACTTCCATTGACTGGTCACAACCTACAAATCCTGGAGTTTCTTAACACCATGAGGACTAGAAATGACTTAAAGGAAATAATAGTGCATCTTCACTGTGAATGCATTATGCACAATTTTATTACAGTTATATTAAAATAACTTGAGATACATTTTGCTTTATTTACACTGTTTTCAGGCTGTTTTCCTTTTGCCTAAATAAAACCCTTTTGATGCTCTTGCTTGTCTGGCTGGCTGTAAACCAGGTATTTAAACAAAAATAAAGAGTTGCCAGTTTTGCCAGCTGGGGATGAGAACCCGGCTGGTGATATGCGGGTTTGGGAGGCAGTTAATCCAGCTTTTATGCTTTTTTATGATTTTATGTAAAAAGAGGTTAAAAATCACATTTGGCACTTCCTTTGTACCACTGTTTTGTTGCTGTTGTGGGAATGCAGCAAAAGGTTGTTCATACTTTTTATTATTATTAGGTAAAGTCCTGCATAAATTACGTAAAGGCACAAATACAATTTTCTTTAGCTATTGTCCATGTGACTTGCCTTGTTCAGAGAATATGTTTTATTTTCCTGTTGCCTTCTTTTATAAATCACAAATGCAAACCACACCTCAACTTGTAAAAAGAATCTACCACTATCTCATAATTTTACATATTTCGCTAGCTTCAAAAGAAAAGAGTAGCTAACTTTACAGATAAGAGAAATAGTAACAGTGCTAATAGATATAGTAGAAAAATACATAATGCTTTTATTCTGTGGTAGAAAAAACAGTGATTTAAAGACAAGCGTCACAGATTTTATATACAGTTTTTCAGCAAATAGCTTGCAATATGCTCAAACTCATAAAACATTTAATTAATTTTAAAATGTGGGAGTTATTTTAGTTAGTTTTGTCATATGTACTTATTCAGATAATTTGTTGAATTTTACACTTTCCAAAATTTCATCCTCTATTTGGAAATATCAATGATGTAACGAGTCTGTTTGTTTTGGCACAGTTGTAAATAGTATGTGTTAATGTGTTAATATTTATGATTTTTTTTAATCTTATATACACAAGAGAGATTTTTAATATACTTCTTTTCATTGTGTTTCTGCTACTAATCCTTAAGGACAGTGAAAACTAGGAGTATGAATGCATTAATTACTGTGGGATTTCCAAAATTGCCATACTGGATCAGACTGCACGTTGTTTCTGCTAATAGCATACATCAGATACTTCAGAGCAGGCTTGGATTTACTGTAGGAGAAAAAAGAGAGGCAAATAAATGATCTCAACACCCCTCATTAGGGCTGGCTAGGGTAGTGCGTGTGTCCTGTGTGTGGCCATGGCCGCTTAGTGTCCCCAGGTAGGTGAGGAATGTGTCTGCCCTTGCTTCAGAGGAAATTATTACACATTTTAGGCAATCACAAGATAATGTACTCATGGATAAAAGTTATTTCTGATCTTTTAGATGTTGCTGTATTCATTTGTGGTGGTTTGAAACCACCAAAATCCAATTTCCGAGTCCAAGCCGCCCCCCACATCTCACCCCAGTGTGAGATGGGTTTTCCAGACGCAACACAAGAGTCAATATGGGGGGAAAGGAATTATATTACAATCACTACACAAATAAATATTATAATACATTATATACACAATCTTAACTCTCTCCTATGATAAAGCAGTATTTACATTGGATCAAATCTCTTCTCCCTCCCATAAAAGTCCAGAAGGGAAGAAGGAAAGATCTTTTCCATGTTCAGGGCAGCAATGTCTCTCATCTTCCATGCAGCAGTTGTAGCTGAAGTTGTAGCTGGATCTCTTCCCATTACACACAAGGGGGTCTTCTCTCACCCCTCGCAGCCCTTCGTCTCCAAGCAAAGGTCTCTCTCCCATGGACTGCGATAACCAGGACAGAAGCTTGTCATATCATGGGGTGTAAGACCCCCATGAAGGTCCCCTTCCTTGAGGGGCTGAGTTCCCTCGAGTCAGAACGTTTAGGGCAGCTTTCAGTTCAGTCCTTGCCCTAAGTGTTCTATCAGAGTTCCTTTGCTCTGTCTCAAAACTGCCAACCTGGCAGCAGGGACGGGGGGGGGTGGAACAAGGCTACTTCCCCTGCATTCTGTCTGGCCGTCTCGGTCCAGCTTCCAGGACGTCTTGAGCTTTTCAACTCCTCTCTCTCTGCTACATGTTGCATTTTAGGACTTCCATCCAGTAGGAGTCCACTCCCTCCTCTTAGGAGGGGTCTCAAAGGGGTTTTGAGGGACTTGATTCAGTTCTTACCCCAAAACTGAAGGCTTTACATATCACCAGATTTTCACTACCTTGTATCTAAAGGGCTGTTCCTGTATGCTTACAGCTTGAATCTGGATGAGATCTTTGTGATGGTGATTGCATGTGTCTGTGTGTTGTAAAAAGTATTTCCTTTTCTGTGAATTAGTTTGTTGTTGGTTGGGGTTCTTTTTAAATCAGTCACATGGTGCTGCCTTTCAGAGTCTGCCTTCCAGTGATACAGTAACAATTCTATATAAATTTCTTTATATATATAGTTCTGCTGTATTCGTTGCATTTCTTTGAGCTTTCCACCTGTTTATTATTTAAGTCTAATTTCTTGTTTTAAGGTTCTTTAATAGATCTTTCTGTAGGAAATATTGGCAACTTGACACATACAGTCATAGTGCCTTCTGTTTTAATGTTTATTAACTTCTAACAGTTTCATCTTTTTTGAATGAACGGGCACGATCTACTAGAAATGCACAGAATCTGGAATTATATATTCAGTAACCTTCATTTTCCTTATTGCTTATGGGGTTTTTTTGTGTGTATGCTGCTCTTATGTTGTCTCCATTTCTGCAGTTTAATATGAAGGTGTATTAAGGTTAAGACACACTGCTTAGATTCCTTGCTCCAGTTCTCTGGGGCTGCTGGCAGAAGGACTGTTTTTAGGTGCATGACATTGGAGGCATTATGTTAACAAATGATATCAACTTTATCACATTTCCATGCTTATGTCTTATAAGCATAGTATCATAGTAAACATGGTATCGTATAAACATTGTTGTATTTTTTTGCACTGACACAGTTCAGCTGTTAGGACTATTTAATGGAATACAAGGGAACTGTCAGGAGAAAAACATTGAGGACTTTTAATAGAAACGAAGATCATAAAGAAACTAAACCTGTCTCAGTTAGATTAAGGTGGTACTAAAGTGAAGACTTTGGACAGGTAGGGTAAGAAAGAGCAAGTGACTGAGCAAAGAGGTGCTTCACCACATCTAACTGAGGTATTAGTGCCTGTAGATAGTGTCTCTTTCTAAAGCTGTGTATGATGTAAATGGGATGGTAGAGGACACAGGAGAGGTGAAAAGGCAGTCAAGACAATTTTGAGCAAGTAATTCTCAATTTTTTGGTTTGCTTTTAGCAGTGCAGTCTGTGGTATGCCTGGAATTTCAGTGAGCTCAGGTGTGTGAGTCAGTACTGCAGTTGCAAGTACTGAGTTAGGTTCTGGGAGTCCTTGTAGCACACTGTGAAAATAAAGTCTCAGAAACCCATTCGTATAGAGTTGCATCAAACAGACTGAAATGATTGTGTATGAAATAGTGTATGTCTTACAGATGCTTTTGATTTCTATCTCAGGTATTAGAAGATAACGACTATGGTCGTGCAGTGGACTGGTGGGGATTAGGAGTTGTCATGTATGAAATGATGTGTGGAAGATTACCGTTCTACAACCAAGATCATGAGAAACTATTTGAACTGATACTAATGGAGGACATAAAATTTCCTCGAACCCTGTCTGCAGATGCAAAATCATTATTATCAGGCCTACTGATAAAGGATCCAAATAAGCGGTAAGTGAAATTAATTGGGTATACAGGCATAATAAATACTCTAATTGTACTGGGTAATGTAAAAATAGGCCAGTGGCGCCTGGTCTTTCTGACTGAAGGATCTGTCAATCACAAGAGAGGGCCACATGCAGCCATACAGTCTCAGATTTACACTTTTTCAATGCAGCAATAATTTACAAAATGCAGGAGAAACTTTTTTAATCATGCACGGCAAATACAGGGGTCTTTTTAGGTTTAGAATGTGTACCAGAACAAAGTAAAAGCTCTCACTTGTTTTTCCCAGTAGGACTTAACCCTAAGTTGACTGTGTAGTCTCATGGGGACTACAGCACTTGTTCTTCCCGATCATGGCAGGAGACATGTATAGACAGCCACAGCTATATTAGGGCACATACATAAATTACATGTTAGATCATGTAAACTTGTAACTCGTTAAACAATGCAATTTCTGAGTGAAATTTAAATAGAGTGGTTTGAAAGCAAGTATCACCCAGCTGCTGTCTGTGCCCTTTTGTGATGGGCTTTTCCCTCTGGGATTGTTGCCTAGGAGAGCCATTTTCCAGTGGCTCCAGCACTGGACCAGCAGTGTCCAGTCCTCTGTGGTTCTAAAAGAAATCTCTGCCTTGGTAATCAGTGGGATTTGTTTGTAGGTACCTTTTTTCCCCCAATATCTGTCATTCTTGTGAGTCTCTTGGCATGTTTTCGGGCTGCAGACATTGTCTGTCTCTCTTCTCTATTGTCTGTCTCTCTTCTTTATTGTCTGTCTCTCTTCTCTAGTCCTCCTTCATCCTCTGGTTCTTCTCAAGAAGTCTTCAGTAGTGAGCATTGCCTGCAGGTGCTCCAAGCAGGACTGGTTCTCATGCCTTTTCAAGGGATTTGTCTGGATGCAGCCAAGTGCTACAGCCAGGACAGCACAAGTGCTCTAACTGAATTTGCTGTATGCAGCACAAACAAACTGTGACCAACCAGCCAAATACATGGAGAGTAGAATAAAACTGGGTTTCTGTAGCAGCTCCTAATGCATTTTAAACTCCAAACAATCTGACCCATCAAATATATTTGCCTTTAGAATTGAAAAGATACTTCCTTGTGATTAATCTTTGCAGACAGGAGTGTTTATTACAGACTTACATTTACAAGCTTACTTATATTCAAGTTCTTGTGCTAGCTAATGCTAAATAGGGTGGGAGCACAGAGTAACATCAATTCAGCTTTTTTTGTGAGCAACTAGAAAGGAAGATATTGAGAGAAGTCTGGAGACTGCAGGCTAAATGCCATGCTTTGCCAAGATGTAGAGAATTTTACAATAAGTAGTTGAGAAACAAGGAGGAATACAGCTTGGAAATTAGAATAACTTTACACTCAGTTATTACAAGAATGACATAGTAGTCCAGAATATTTTAGTATTTTGGCAGCAGGGTAATACCAATAAAGATGTTTTTTCTTGGTTGTGGAAATTATTCCTACTTACAATAAATGCTTTAGAGAGGAATTTATCTTACTTAAATGGTTCTTTTAAAATTTGTCTTTATATCTTTAGCAGTTCCTTTTAATGAAACACAAATTTGTCTTTATATCTTTAGCAGTTCCTTTTAATGAAACACAAATTGTATGTGTCAGTCTTCTTGTCAATATTTAACACGTATGGTCTGCTTGTTCAGTTAAGATTAGCTTTTTTTCTCTGCTGCAGCTTCCTTCTGTTAGGGCAGTGGGATAGCCAACCTCAGGGAGAAGTTAGATGAGAGCTGAGAAGTCCTGAAAGTTGACTTCTGCTGCTGAAAAGGGCAGATGGTCCTATGATTGGATGTATGGTTCTTTCTTCACCCACAGTAGCAGCTCAAGGAACTCACTAAACTCATTTAGTCAAACTGGACTTGCTAATGCAACAAAAAATGGCCAGTTCTCCTCTTCTCTCTCTCTTCTCTCTCTCTTCTCTCTGTCTTCTCTCTCTCTTCTCTCTGTCTTCTCTCTCTCTTCTCTGTCTTCTCTCTGTCTTCTCTCCTCTCTCTCTCCTCTCTCTCTTCTCTCTCTCTTCTCTCTCTCTTCTCTCTCTCTTCTCTCTCTCTCTCTCTTCTCTCTCTCTTCTCTCTCTCTTCTCTCTCTCTTCTCTCTCTCTTCTCTCTCTCTTCTCTCTCTCTTCTCTCTCTCTTCTCTCTCTCTTCTCTCTCTCCTCTCTTGTCTCCTCTCTCTCTTCTCATTGTGGGGTTACTTTTCTTCCAGGTTAGTGAGCTGACTCTGCTCAGAGTCATCAAGTGAGATTGATGCTATAGATGCAAGTGAGAGAGGAGAGGTATGGACAGGGGTGGGACCCTCCTCTTTTGGCAGCAGTGGCCACTTCTGTAGCTCAAATCGCCTTGGGCAAGTTCACCCAAAGTAGGTGAAATTAACTTCCTAGGATGATTTAACAGACAGAGTCTGGCTTTGGCAAGCTACAGGCCACAGTGAATAGTGTGGTTATTTACAATGGCCTTTAAATAACCTTCTCAGCAGGCCTACAATTTATTAATTTATACTAATTGACTCAGATTGAGACTATTTTATGGTAATTGGTTAATTGTTACAGCACCCAGATGCAACAGCAGCGAACACTGTACAAAAATGATGTGCGAGTCATTACTGATTCAGTGGCTGGCACCTCCTTGGCAAAATTTTATTTCAGCGTTATTGGGTTGGTTTGGGTTTTTAATAGTTAGCCAGAATGTTAGTTGGTGTTTCAAGCAAACTAAACTTAAGTATGTTTTTAAAATTAATGAATTACTAAAAGAGCTCATCGTGGGCAGTAACAAACACTGTAGTTGGAATAATCAAATAGAATAGACCATGGCATGGATAATTCTGCTATCACATTTTCTCTAGAGATCATTGGAATTCATATTAAACAGGTGGAAATTACATATTAAATGGGTGAAAATTGTTCCCAGATAGTCAAAAAGAAATGGTCATTTTTCTAACCATAACAGTAACTTGATCTCACTATAAAAATAATGCTTGTTTAATATGTGGTTTTTTCCCTCACACTCTTTAGACTTGGTGGAGGCCCAGATGATGCAAAAGAAATCATGCGTCATAGTTTCTTTGCTGGAGTAAACTGGCAAGACGTATATGATAAAAAGGTATGTCATTATTATATTTATATGACATTGAATAATCTAGCTTCTGCAAGGTTGTTTCAACTGGTAGTCATAGGACTGCTGTTCTCTGGAGTTAGTAATTTTTTTCTTTGCAACTTTTTTGTGTTACTACAAATGAATAATTATTCTGAACAAGGTGTACTTACTTAATCTTTGGGTTTTCAGTAATAATGTGTCAGTTCACCAGAAATAAATTTTGCAAACCAACCTAAACTCAGCAAAGATTTTTCTTCTATTATGTAAATGTCCAAATTTTTTCCTTTCCATTTTTCTTCCTGGACCTTCAAGAGAAAAGTAGGTGTATGACTCAAGGTAATGTGAAAATGTAATATAAGTTTATCCTGAATTGTATTTCTATTTCTTCCCTTTATTGAAAAGTTGTTTTATGGAAAAGGGAGATTAAGGGATTGGAGGGGGCTCATAGCAAAAATCTACTTTCTAATTGTTTGTGTATAAATAGAAATGTTTTTGAAACTTATTTTTAAAAAGATATCTAAGAAAATTAAAATAACATTAAAACACTGAGCCAAAACAGCTTGTGGAGAAAAAAGTGAGTGCTGGGAATTCATTTGAAACAGCTTTCTCTAAACCCAATCCTGTTCCTGTAATGATCAACACTTTGGGAATGATTTTAGAAAATGAATTTATCTCAGTAGTGAAACTCAATTCCACGGAAGTTGTTTTATATACAGAAACTGATTTTATCTTAGTATTTCTGTAAGAATTTACTTGTTGCTATAAACCCCTTCTATTTTGATAAAGACTTCTCTTTTTTCCCCCCAACTGTTTTACGTTGCCAGTTGAGCTGTGTAATTTTAAAAGATAGTTTTTTTCTACTTTTTTTGCTTTGTTCAAATAAAAGGAAAATGGAAGACATACGACTGAGCAGAATATGTTTATGCTACAATGTCAGTGATACAAACTGTTTTTTCAGTTGTTGTTGAACTGGAATTTTAAAATGTGTGGTTGTTGGTGTGGTACTTCTCTGACAAATACCGGAATTGAAATAGAAGCCTGTATATGATGATACAAAATATGGTACTCTGAAATTACTTGATACAAGTGTGATTTTTCCCTGGCAGTATCACAAGGTTTCAGGAAACTTTACACTAAATAATCATAGCAAGTATATTAATCAGGTTACTTTACGAGCTCAACCACTAGTTGGTTATGTAAGGACACTGTAGAGAAGCACTCTGAGGATACAATCTAAAAATACAAGTCGAGGACCTTTCTAGAGTAAAAAAAATCCCAGTCAATTGGACTGCAATGTTCTAGGAGTGGGTGAGAGAAAAAAAAGCTGTTACATTATTCTTGCTCTCTTGAAAAAGATTTCCTAATTATCTTGCATTAGAAATAGAGCTTTCAATTCTACACTGTGTTCAGCATCATATTTAGTTAAGAATATATAGATACTCCTAATTACATGCGCTTTGATCCTTTCCAGATGAACATGGCAAATGTCTTTCAGCCAAGATCTTTTTCTAAGCTATTAAAATAAAAGGAGACATTTTGCAGAGTTACATATATATATATATATAAAAATATATAAATGCTGGCACTTCACTTTTATGATCATGGAAGTGGATATGGCTTATTGGGTTATTATAACTGGAGAAATTGTAGTCCATCTTTGTTTGTTCTGGCCACCGTTGCTTTGAGAAACCAAATTTGCTAGTAAAAAAATTATTTGAATTTCCTCAGTTGAATGGTTAACTTCAAGGATTGTAAGAATTGGTTTTGTGCAGTATTGGCACACAGTGTGTTCTTTATGGAAAAATAACTCTTGTAAATGAGTTCTGACAGTATGTTTTTCTGTTTAATTAAAAAATAGTTTTTTTCCTATTTGTTCCTAACAAAGCCATTTGTCTGGCTGGTTAAAATATCCAGTTGTTCCATCTGCACACACAGTCTTACAGGTTCTGAAGTATGCAGGGTGTAAGACTGTGCTCTGAAATACAAACCACAAAGATAATAACACTGTTAATGAACTTTCATTGAGTATGTTTATTGGAATGCTTGTATGAATATTCTTGAGGCATTTTGGTATTCTAAAATAACTCAGAGCATTAAACAAATTGATTTTCAAACAGGTTTGTTCTATACTTGCTTCTGTTTCTGTTTTTTGTTAGTAGTAGAATCTTCAGCAGTAGAATCACTTGATGAAATTGATAGTGGATATAATTATTGGCACAGTAAAAATATTTCAGAGTAATTTTGCCTGAGTTTTATGCACCATGACACTGTAATTTTCTGGCTGTATTTCAGGAGTGTGTTTCTGTTAGCAATGAAAGAACAGAAGTTCACTTTCGGAGTAATGGAAACAAAAAAATCATGTGTATTCCAGGTAGTTGTGATAGTTTGTACGTGTTCACACTGTGCTTGTGTGCCACTAATTTTATCATTTTTACAGATATTAAGTGCATCTCTGTACTTACTAGGTTATCACTTTACTGGTGTGGTTAAAGCCAGAATTATATATCTGTAAACTATTTCATGTATTTCATGTGACAGTAGCTCTGTCGGGTCAAATGGATCCAAATGGTCAAATGGAATTATTAGCTTTCTGATACTGCTAACTAGTTAACCTAATTTGATACTACACAATGATAAAAAAATACTGTATGGCACACTGGAGCAGAGAAAGATCGTTGCCTTTAAATAAAAAATGTATAATAGTTAGCATTTGTGATCTGATGTATTTATTTTTGGCAGAAAAACCATGAGGGCATATGAAAGAGAGCAGCCTGTGCCAGGTTCTTCCTGTGATCATCTCAGCCCTGATGAGTTTTTATCTCTGTGCCTGAGTATGAGAAATTGAATAGTTTGGCAAACTCTGAAGACTTCAAAAGCCCATATACTTCAAAAAATATTTGTTTTATTTTTAGCTGGAATCAGGAAGCTTTTGAAATGTCTCTGTTTCTCATTTAAGAGTTGTATTAGCGTATTTTTATTTGGGTTGCAGAAATATTCTTAAGTTGTCAGATGTTCTGTTTAGGGTCTTTCACTGAACAAAAACCACATGGGCATTAATTAAAAGGTAGAAATTTGGGTATGTCTTCAGGCTTGAAGCACTCAAATAGCCTCATGGCAAAGGACGCCCAGACCTTTTAGCAAGGCCTGTTTTTTCTCCTGCACATAATATAGACAAAAGAAGAAAGAAACCACATGGAAATTTGGGCTGAGATATATATATATATTATATATATATATATATATATATATATATATATATATATATCTTTCTTCTTCTGATTTGTGGTAATACCTCTGATTGTTCCTGGAGCAAATTAGGGAGTGCTAACAAATTAATTTGTTAGTACTGGGAAGGGAATAGGGACAAGTGTCAGTAATGGAGAAGGCTGGGATGCCTGACTTTGCTGCAGGTGCAGTGCTTGTGGAGGCACCTGTCTCAGCATGGAGGCAGTGACTTTCAGCATGAAGTCTGACAGCTGCAAGAAGCTGTTCCTTACCCTTCAGCTGTGACTACCTTTGTTTTCCTCAAGACACAAAATCAGTAGATGATGAAATCCCATGATTGAAGCCCTGGGTTCAGGCCTGGCAAAATCTAAAACATAACTGTGATCTTAAATGCACATTTAAATACTTCTGTGTATCAGATTTTGAAGGAAAAGGGCAGGAGGGAAATAGGAAAATACCAACATTTGGGTTTAGGCCGTTGCTATTTGAGTCATACTATTTTTGTACAATTATCTGCACTGCAACAAAACCTGCAGAAATTACCCTTGTTAGTTACTTTTGTGTTGTTGCCAAGCGAAGTAGTAAAAAGATCAGAAAACTGCTAACCAGTCTGATCTTTTCATTGTGTTTCCACTGATACTTTAAACTATATGGGCAGACCTAGAGGTTGATTAGTATCCTTCCCCCAGCTGCTTGAATTTACAGGGAGGAAAATATACATAAGGGTGTCTGATTCTTAAACTTACATTGCTGTAGTCCTGGGGGTTTGTGGTCTCTCTCTCTCTCTGTGATAACAGCATTGTATCACTTGGAAAACAGCTTATCCATGGGTGAACCTCCCTGCTGAAGCCTGTTTTCTGTGGATTTGTGTGGTGTCTCTTCCTACCACTGAAATCCCAGCTCTTCCTCCTCCACCTGCCTAGGACCACCTCATGCAGGGTCTGTGGGGTATTCCTAGCTCCCAACTTGGCAGCAGGCTGCCTGCTTCAGGGCCAGGTATGGGGATGAACCAATTCCTACAGGAATGCTTACAGATTGGCTTGAAGCTCAACTCAAATTACCGTCTTTTCTCCAAGTGGCAGCTCTAGTTTGAGGGGGATGGACAGGTATTTCTCCCTTCTACCCAGCACGATTCAGCAGCACTCTGTTGGTAGATGAGATTCTTATGGTAGTATTCATTTTTAGTTCATTTAAAGTAAAATTCTCTTTAAATTAAAAAAAAAAAAGAAGACCAGATTGATGTTCTTAGGCATCATACTTTTCGTTTGGCAGATCAAGTGCATCACAGGTACTTTGAAGTAGCTTCAACCACTTCCTATACAATACCAAGTCAAATGATTCCTGGTAAATTATTTTTCGGCAAATTTTCTGTCATAATGAAGTGTTTGTGTAGTTGTTCAGTAAGCGTGAGAAAGTTCAGGGTGTAGAATCAAGCCTGTCTGTTCATCTCAGTGTACCTGTAACAGTCAGGTTATCTGACTGTTATCTGACTGTATCTGCACCTTTCCTTCCCCTGAGAGATGGGTGACAACTTTCCCAGGACTTGAACCGTGGAAAAACTGTGGTGTTTTTCACACGCTGCTCTTGATGGATGCCAAATGGAAATGCCATTCACTTAGAGAAAATGAAGACACTAAGAATTTGGTACTGCTTTTGCTGTCATTTCTAACATCAAGCCTTGGAAATGGCCAGGGCAGATTCAGCTTGACAGATGGATATGAAATTGGATTTTTGTCTTGAACATCAACTCTTAAAGTCACTTAACTCACACTGAGTTTAGACTTTTATTTCTTTATTTGTACAGACACATACATATCTATGCATATGTGTGTGTGTAATGCATAAACTTTGAAAATCTGTATTTCTGTTCCTTAGAGTAAATTGTCAGGAGGTGCAGTTCCCTGTCTGGTTGGAGTGTGTTCCTGAATTTGCACAGGCCATGAGGGGAGGAAAATTATCCTGTACTACAGCTTGGCAGCCAGGACTGAGGAGGGTGATTCTCTTGCTGACTGACAAGGACTGTGCTTATCAAAAGCTCATCTTACTCCTTTTGTGCCCAGGTTACTGAGTGTGCCTTTGGGTACTCACATCACTCTTGGACTTCTGACTTCTCATGTCAGAAGTGGGGAATAGCTGTGGCAGTAGCGCCTGGATACTATTTCCTTGTGGAACCAAACATGAAATGTCACTGGCTGTAGAGTGGCATCTTCATGTTGTGATCATCAGGGTGGTAGTTGATGTTGGCTGTTTTAATCTTTATCATTAAACCTCAGCTTCAGTCGCCCTTGGGATGTATGGCAAAGCTTCTGGAGTGTCACAGTGTTTATCTCTGAAGAAGTTGCACCTTGTTTGTCTTTCTAACAGTTTTATTACAGCTGAAATTTGTGGACATTTTACTTCGTGTTTTTAAATGAAGCCTTGTCCAGGGGTGGACAAGGTGACACCCCTTTGGAAGGATTGCCAGGTTTCTGTAGCAGGGTGTGTTGGTGACAAAATCTGTGTTGAATGGTTCTGTCTGCAGTCTTCTGAACGTGGTGTTGAATGGTCTGAATGTGTCCCTCTGCATACACTTGGGTGTGTCATTTATACCACACTCTGCTTCTGCTTTGTCTGAAAGCTTGTTGGGGAAGGATTTCTTACAGTGTTTCTCTCATTTTCTTCTGGAGGTGATGCCTAAGCTCTGCATGCTGGTTCCTCGTTCCTTAACAAAAATTATTTTAAAGGTCCTCCCGTTAAAACTGGGAGTGTGTCTCGTGAATATCCCAACAATTACATACATGTCAGAGAAAGAATTTACTTGGGGAAAGGGAGGTGTGCCTTTGGTGTCAGCTCAGGAGTCTGGAGTGGGATGTCCACAAGACTTTAGCCCCTGTTGGTTTGGTGTAGGTGGGATAGAACAGACGGAAGGGAGCAATCCCCAGTTCCAGCTGTCCTCACAGCTGTGCCGGTAGAGGTGATGCTGTGAGGGAAGGAGGCAAAGTGTATGGGAAGAATTAAGAAACTTCCCTGCTACTCTCTGTTGAGTTGTATCTGTGCATCCTAATCTCAGCTACCGTTTCCCCATTTCCAAAGGCTGTAGGGGATGGTTGGTGTACTTTAGGGTACAGCTTGGATAAACACTAGTGTAAGCTGTTGTTGAGAGCCATATGGCTGGATGGTTTGTTTCTACAGTCACTGAAGTTTCCAATTACCTTTTATTTCCAGGATATGAAGGATACTGCGGTAAGATGGATGAATCCTAAAACACCATTGACATAAATTTGCATCTGGTTCCTCCCTTCTCATTACAGGCTAGTTTCATGTGTTCTAGTTGTTTCACTTCCCCAGACTTTTGTCATCACTGAAATTTTCATCAGCTGACTTTTTGGATGTTACTGATAAACAGTTTTCTAATAAGCTTTGCTACTGAGCATCAAATTGGAGCGCCAACTTGATGAATTTTGTTTTAATAGTGCTTTTCATACCTGATTAAAATTATTACTGTAATTTTTTTTGTTCCTTAGGAATCATTTAGTACTGTGCTTCTCTTCCTGAAATGATGTTTTCAAAGTATTTTCCATAACCATTCCTGTTTCAGATAGATGGGGAGAACAAGGAAGTGGTTTAAAGTCATAGTGAGGCCTCTTCATTTCAGTGGATTAAAAAAAAAAAAAAGTAGTAAAAAACCCCTGAGTAAACCAGTAGTTAGCCAGTAAGTTTTTGAGGAAGAAAGTTGTCATCTAATGCATTTTCTTTTTCCTCTCCAGTTACACATCCACACATTCCTCCATGTAATGATATTACCTTGCCATACCTTTTGTTTTTCATTAACTACTTGAATCTAAATCACAGTTGTTAAAGACTGCAATGTGAATGTTTTCTCCTTCTCTTCACAAAGTAGTTGTAGCATGAACAGTCCCTGTTGTACTTGGTAACAAGAGTAGTTTGTTCTCCTGGAGATGTGTGCTGCACTGTTGAAAAGACATTGTTTCTTGTCCTTGAGAAAAAAGAAAGTTTTTCCTAAGCTTGTATTTTAATTATCTTCAAAGGAAATGTTTTAATTTTTTGTGAAATGGCATTTTCTGTTTCTCATCAGTAAAAATTATCCCAGTCAGGGAAGTAGCAAAGTTGTTATAAACCTGTTAGCTTATGGATTTTTTTCATACTGAATTTATTGCTGAGAACTGTGAAAGTGTCTTTTTAAAAGGACGTGATGGACATTTGTCCTTATCTAGAGTACATTACTTGTCTTCCTGTAATCTTGTGTGGCCTTTTTTTGTTTGGTTTTGCATGTTTGCTTGTTTTGTTTGGATTTTTTTTAGGGGGAATTGGACTTTCTGAGTATTCTTCTTTGACACAGAAAAATGAGAAAAAAATGGCAATGTGGGATATTCCACTGGAGTAACTCTGTGCTTAGGAATTGTGTGACTGCATTGCTGGAGGGACATACAACTTTGGAAATCTGCTTTAATAGTGCAGAATTGCTTGGGATAGCCAGAATGCATGCAAAAATGATTTTAAAAAAGTGTAGAAATTTGTGCAATAAAATAGAATACTTTGGTTTTAAACATCGGATATAACTGGATTTATACCTGGAAGATTCTTCCAATACTGAGTTCATATATGTTAGCTCTTTCAGCATTTATCCTACAGCGCTCCAAACCTTTACTTCAAAATCCTTCTCTGCTGTTGTATGTTTTCCATTCATGACAATGTAAGGGAAAACCGAATTTAGTTTTATAAAAGTATTAATCAGATTTATTGTACTGAGTATATGAAAGAGAGAGATTTGGTTTTGCTTAATAATTGCTTGCACTGTTACTGAAGATTTGGATCAGATAAAACAGGTCTCTTAGTATGTACACATCATGTGTATCTGTGCATCTAGTGCCTAGAACACGGGGAAGGGAGGGAGTTTAACGGCAATTCTGCTTCCTTTGCTGTGGGGCAAATGAACAAATTAATTGTTTGGTGTTAGTGTTCTGGAGTTGAAGAGAGAGGTAACGTGAAACTAGTGAAAACCACATGCAAGCTGATAATATCAGTGACCCATCATGTAATCTGTTGTATTGAAAGGAAAATCAATACACTATTCTCAGGGTGTGTTTTAAATTGCATATGCGAAGATAACACCAAAGAGCTCCAAGGTACAAAGAAAAACATTGTCACACCACACCCACACACATTTATGTCACACCCACACACATTTGCAATATCGTACATACTAAACTGCTGTATCATTTTTGGACTAGCATCATGCAGAGTGATATTCCATGCTAAATATGCCTTCCAGTTAAAATCTTTGGCCTATAGGTAGTTCTTCCGGTGAAGAAGGTGCAGAGCAAGACTGGTTCAAAAGAGGGGCAAGGAAGTCCTGCCTGGGGGCTGTGAGCAGATACTGGTGATTTGCTGTTGGGAAATACCACACTGTATTCTAAAAGCAGTAGGCAGGATTAGATCCAGGAACTCACTTAAGCATGAACTGGCCTTTTTTCAAATGTAAGATTAATTTTCACATCACATAATTTCTTTTAAATGTAGGTTCAGATGAAGGTCTTAAAACTGAAAAAAAAACCAAACCAAACCATCATGCTTATTATACTCTCTGAGTAGTTTTTTTTCCTTAGCTGTTTATACAGCCAAGTTATGGTGAAGTATCTAGAGGTGCCTTTGCCTCACAGCTATGCGGGTAATTACATTGGCCTGAAGAGTTTCTAGGTAATTATCTTTATGCAGCTAAATTTATCTGCAAGTCATGTGAGAATGATATTTGGAATTTAGCTGTGTTGTGCTATTAACTGGATCCTGAACTGATATTTTTGGGATTGACTCTAATGGCTTCTGTCTCTTACTAGAAGTTAAGAGACTCAGCTGCCTCTCTACAAACCTACTTGTTTGATCTGGGGTGTAGGGAAAAAGAACTTACTTGTTTTCCTGGTAGTAATTTGACTGGTTTGAGGTATAGTAATTTTATTTTGTTTCTTGGTGCCTTTCAGCTTGTACCTCCTTTTAAACCTCAAGTGACATCTGAGACAGACACCAGGTATTTTGATGAAGAATTTACAGCTCAGACTATTACAATAACGCCGCCTGAAAAATGTAAGTCAGAAACGATGCGTTAGCATGACTTAACAATGTTTATAATAAAGCACTGTGTAAGGTTTTTTTCTATTTGAATGGAAAAGCTGTTCTCAGTGTTACTAATAAAAATCCTCATATGGAAGTGTGTAAGAGTAACTCTCAATGACAGTTTTCTTTTTAAGAAGGAGCAATTACAGAACTTAGAATACTAGATCACTCTGATTTGAGTTTTGAGGGCATTTTTGGTATGGACTTTCATGTTTTGATTTTGTTTGGGGTTTTCATTTGTTTGCCTATTGGGGATTTTTTATTTTTAAATAAGAGAAGGCACTAGCTTCAAGTGTTTACTGGTTGGCAGTCAAGGTCCCAGTTCAGCAAAGTACTTGGAACATGGACCCTGCTTTAAGCATGTGGACACTGTCTAGTTTTAGTGAGACAGGCATATTTTAAAATACTTTGAAGACAAAAAGAAAAAAAAAAGATCTGCCAGAGACAAGTGGATTTCTCTTTGTGTACATACCAATTACTTGAAAATGAAATGCCATATCAAGTTTCATTCTTCAGCAGAGCTCTTAGAGAAACTGTTAATGAGGATGTAACTACTGCACTGGGACTTGCACAGAGTTTCTTTGTTGCAGTGAATGTAATTTCTCCACAGTTTGTATTTTTGTCATCTTCTGTGACATGCACAAGTATGATCTGATCAGCCAAGGGCTTAACAGAGTTATTTACCAAGCCAGAGCAGTTAAAATCTTGCTTCTGAGTTCTCGGGTGAATTTTTTTTCTAAATGGGATATTTGTGAGTTTTTGTTTATTTTAAATTGGAGGCTGAGAAAGGCAGAACACAAAAGTAGACAATAAAGGCTGTAGTTATTGTTGCTTACCCTTTCCTAAAGCTAGCCCATTTTTTGGTGTTTTAGGATTCGCAGGTTAGCTGCAGTTTTCTGTTTGTATATAGACCTAGTGTATTTTCTGGATTTCACTTTTCTAGTGTTTGAACACAGTCATAGAAGCGCAGAAAGGTTTGGGTTGGAAGGGACCTTAAAGATCATCTAGTTACAAGCCTCCTGCCATGGGCAGAGACACCTTCCACTAGACCAGGTTGCTCAAAGTTCATAATTTAAGTGATTTTAAGTCTTTCTACTGTGAAAAGAGAACCCTTACTTCTCCCATTTAGCTAGCTTGATAAGAATTTGTTCATAGTCGTAACTTGAACAAATTTTACTTAAAATTTGGATTAACTTGGAGTCTGTTGATTCAATATCATAAAGTCCTGATCTCTTGAAACCCCACCTATGCAATGAGAATGGCTATTAGTTCATCAAAGGGTGAAGCAGTACAAAACATGTATGCCTCCAAGGCTTCAGCTTTAAATTTATTGAATTCAGGGCAGGTGACTGAGTCTTAAGAATAATGAAGGGAGGGGGTGATGACCAACAGCAGTGCAGAGATCAGCTGCTGAATTGCTGGCATGGGGAGCCCTTCCAGGGAGCTGGCAGGGCTACCTCACCTGAGCCTGCGATGAGCAGCATTGCCAGCAGCACAGAGGTGTATTTTTTTCCTGTGCCAGGTAGATTTGCTGCCATTTTTAGTGAACTGCAGTGGTTCAAGAACCACATGGGGCTTTCCCTTTTCTGTTGTTGTGGTTGGGACATTATTTTTAATTATTTTTATTTTAAAATCTACAAGTAATTGTATTATTTACAGTGTGGTATCACCTCTGTCTGATGTGATTACGCAAAAGGGGGTTAAAATGTGTTTTAGGGAAGGAGGGCGAGTAGCGGTGTCAGGAGGTTACTGCTGAAATAAAGATCTTTTCTAGATATTTATTTTTATTGAAACTCTGTCTTGTATCTACAGTAATCAGTCTGACAGCAAAACAAACAGGCTGTGTACATTAACCTCCTTTAAACTGATAGTGTAAAAGCAAGATTGTATTTGAAGTTACAGAACTGAGCGGCATTGTTGAAGTCAAGTAGCCTAATCATAATAACTGCTCAAACCTGCATTAACTCTAGTTTTTATTTGTAGAATATATGCAGATACAAAAGATACATAATTCTGAAAGGTTGGATATAAATATGTCAACATAGAACAACAGTCTCAGTAGGAGTCTTTAAGAACAAGCACTGTTAAAAAATCCATGTGAGAATGTCCATCCAAATTCTCTGAGTTAGGTAACATCTGGTGCCTGGTTTCCACTGGCACTGCAGGAACTATGTAAATGAAAATATTTATGAATTTGGCTTAGTCCATGTTTCTTCTGATCCCAGTAAATACTGTAAAAATAAATAGTTTACTAAAAAATAATATCTAAGAATTGAAACACATGGAACCTATGTGAACTGTTCATTTTGTAGCTGTTTTTCCTTTTAACTCCCTTTGAAATGGAGGAATATTTAAATATATCTGCAGTAAGATTATAATTTCCTGAGCTCAGCTCAAGAAACAAGGGAAACTCTGCCCCAGTCAGCAGTCAGCTTCCATGCTGACATGTTTTGACTAGCCTAGAACTGGTAGTAGTGACTGAAGTTCTCACATCATAGGCATAATAAAACCAATCAACAAATCAACCTACCCTGAAATAAATAGTGACATTTGGAAGTGATATCCCCTCAGTGAACATCATCCTGCTGTATGACCATAAGCTTACATACATGACTAGAGTCTTACTTAAACTTGAGTCTTCAACTTCAGCATTGAACCCTGAAAGGTATACTGCATATCAGGTGAATAATGAAATTTTGTTGCAAATATAATGATGTTTTGAACTTCTCCCTTAACACAGATGACGAGGATGGTATGGACTGCATGGACAATGAGAGGCGGCCGCATTTCCCTCAGTTTTCCTACTCTGCAAGTGGACGAGAATAACTTTTTTGTTCTGCTGCTTCACTGTCATCTTAGGTTTATCACTGAAAATGATTCCTGAACATCACCACCAGTACTAGATACTATTATGATAGCAGGGGCACTTTCAGAGACCATTCCAAATTGAACAAGTTTCTTTCCCAGACCTACCTAAAATCAGTTTTGGTTTTGCATGACATATGAGATTTTTCTCTACTACGCTCTCCTGCTGTTGCTGCTGCCCACAGTCTCAGTATAATAGCAACGTCAAGAAGTTACTAACAGTTTCTTTGAAGGTAGATGACTTGACTTCAGCACTGTAAACTTTGTGAACAAGTAGTCATCTATTTTTCCTCACAGCGGAGGCTAAACAAAAACCGTGTTGGTCCAGCTTATCTTCTTCCAGAAGACGAATCAAAATTGTAATTAGTCGAAACAGACTAGGCTATAAAATTTTCTTGCATCTGTTTGTGCTGGTTAGAATGAGGAAACATTGGGGTGGTGATGTACATATGCAAGGTTTCTGTTAGGCATATCATTACTTGAAGCAGGTCTCTGTCATTAACATCTGGCTGGAATTTGTTTGGGAAATGTCTGAAAGAAGGACTTAAACTGTTGATATATATAAATATATATATATTATTTTTTAATTACTGTTGGATACTACAGAAGAAGCAGAAGGGCTGGGCTCGCCCAGCCTGCCACTTAGAACTTCCAGGTTCATGTGCAATCATGGAGAATCGAACATTATACATGCAAGAAATGAAGGCATAAAAGCAGCATTTGAAGTTGTTCAAGGGGTCTTATAATTTGCACCAGATAACATCTTTCTCATGCTTTTCTCTTTCATGATATGCATCACCTCTGATGGCTGAAGAATGTAGACAGGCATAATGGTATTGCTTTTCACCAAAATGTGTGCACCAAGGTAAACAGGTGTTTGCCTTACTTGTTTTTATTTTGAGTTTGTGAATTAGCTTTTTTCTCCAGGTGTTTAACTCTGAATATTCTTTTTTGCTTTCCTTTCCTTTTTTTTTCCCCCCTTGGTTATACTGCGTTAGTATTTATTTTTAGAGATAAGGTTTATATGTGTCATGTTTGCAAATGCTGCTACATCTTAGAACAGGCTTATAGCAGTTAATTTTGTAATATATGGAAGGACTGTACAAGCTGAAGGGAATAATGCACTTTTCTCCCATGTGGAAATTTTAACAAGGCTCTGAAATTGTACATACTGCTTAGAATCAGATTTTTGTGAATGAAATACTGTCTTTTAACTGTTTGGCAATGGAGGTGAGGAATTCCAACCTCATGTGCCAAAGGGTTAAAAACAAACAGACAAAAAAGCTACGTCTTGTGCTCCATTTAGGATAAATGTAATGTAAGAGCCTGACAGCACAAGAGAAAAATGTCTGTTCTATATGAAGGAATTGCATTTGAACAATGAGACCACAGTGATTACAAGAAAAGCACTTTATTTTATTAATTAAAATAGCAAATTTCTGGGATCAGCCGTTCTCAAGGAAGATTTGCCCTCAACCAAAAGAGTCCTGAAATCCAGCAAGTTACATGTAACAGTGGTACCTGATTGACTGAATTTAAAACATCATGACAAATGCTCCACTGATAGGGAAACGTCTTTCCATTTCCTAAGATCTGTGTCTAACAGAACATGTGCATAAACTTTAGCTCTGATCTTCAGCAATGATAATCTTAATAATAAACCCTTTGGTGCTAGGAGTTGGGACGTTACGCCGTGCAGCGTACAGAGCGCACGCACCCTTGCTAACATCGGACAACCCCAACTCCATGGGATTATCATTTGAAGTATCTCTGCGTTCAGCTCTTGTTAGCTCCCACAAAGACTGTGATATTGCTGAGTATTCCTGGTTGCGTTGTGTGAGTGAGTAGATGGGTCTGAGAGGAGAGATGTTCTACGCAGATGCCTTAGCCTCTTGATGTGGAAAGTTGAGTGCCCAAGCATGAAGCCCACTGCTGGCAGTGCATGTGCTGGGATGGTCAAGGGGTTGATGGGCATTTTAGCAAGGCAGCTAAAAACGCAGAGTAATTTAGACAATTTTTCATGTTTTGTGTTTTATCTTTAGTAATGGATGGATAATCAAACAGAAATATGTCATGATGTATATTGTAACTGCATACGATGTCATTATGTCACCTTGTAACACTAAAGATGTGTAGATGTTGTTCCTGTGCAGAGAGAGAGATGGGCAGCAAATGAGTTGCAGGTCTGTTCTGCACCAGTGCTGTAGAGGTGTCTACACTGACACAGCGAGCGAGTGACTGAAATAATCAAGTACTTAACAGACGGGCATTAATTAGTTCTCTGCAAAGGTCTCGTACTTACAGACTGAAACTATGGTGATTCAAAATCTGTGTTACATGCCTGTGTTTTCTCCCCTGTGTTTTCAGCTTGTAATAGCAATAAGTCTCTTGACACAGGGCACCTCTAGCTAATGACCGACTGGCCCTGCCTCTGGTCAGCCGCTCCTTGCGGGCAGAGGACGCCCTGTGGTTTAGCTCACCATGGCGTAGCTACTTAGTGTGTGGTTTGCAGTAAGTGTCTGTCAGTGAATTATTTGAAAACCTTTTAAGACATCACTTTGCATTGTGTTTGTCTGCCTTTCGAAACATCAGTGATCAAGTTTGTGCTACAGAGAGTCAGCAGACACTTTGTGCTGCCTGGGCTTGGGGGATTCTCTCTTACCAGTGTTAGAAACAGGTGACAGAGGAATGGACAAGCAGTGCTGAGAGAAACTTTTGAAGCTCTTCTTTTGCTGTCTGCAGTTGTGGTTGGATTTGGACAGGAGATGGTGGCTGGTTGTCTTGGCGAGCCTTTCGAGCACAGTACATTTCAGACTTTGACTCCAGCTTGTACTGACTTCCATGACATACAGTATGCCCTCTTGTACTGCAGCCATCTCAGAGGAAATAGGTCATTTCTGTTTGGATTTTGGCAGTTTTGCACACAGCTTCGCTTTCCACACTAATCCATCTTCCAGTACATTCCTGTTGCTTAAAGAACATTTATTCCAGGATTGTTTTACATTTTTTTTCCCATCTTTACTTGTGGCTTCTTAAAGCTGACTGTTCTTGCAGGGGCCATGTGCTTCTCCTAGAGTACAAAAGTAAGGTCTTTCCTTACTAACTGCAGGGTCTATATATTACACCTCAATGTACACACTTTGCTGCTACTGTTTGTACTGTCTACAGTAGAATTTCCTTATCTTGCTCCTGGTAGTGCATTACAGGCAAGCATGAAATGTAAAGTATTTATTTAAATAAAAACCTCTAAATTGGTAATTGAATTACCTCCCTGTAGCTTTAGAGTTTGTGACATTTCTTGACCTTGCTAGTTCTTTCATTAGATCCATGCAAGATCTAGTCATATGGTTAAGGATATTAAGCAGACACGACTATGAACCCAAGAAACCGTATTACTGTTGGTCATACTTAAACTGTTTATTTCCTTAAGTATATGACCCACAAGGATGTGAAATAACTACAAGAAACTGTTTTTGTACACTGTACATCCTTAGTATTTTTACACGTATATGATAGGGATGCACATTATTTTCCTTCGTACAGACAGCTTAAATAAAGCACTATGTCAATCTGCTACTTCTGTGTTTTTTAATGCTAATTTGTTCTGGAGGTTTGTAAATATATATATATATATATGTTCAAGCTTGCCACAAAGGACGTATTTTTTATATCTGCACATTACTATTAAATATCTTAGGGGATAAAATTCCTAAGTTGTTCCGTGTCAGAGAAAAAAAAAAGGAAATGAGAAGGCTATATTGCAGATTACAAAAGATTTCTCAAGTTTTGGGTTAAATATTTACTTCATATTTTAAAGTAATTTTGTATAGGTTAGATGTTTCAATCCTGAAATGCACAAAGAATTTACTTAATTTCTTCTTACAAGAAAATGTACATCGTTATTTTTTTATCACTGTATATATAATGATCTGTGCATGTTTAGTTACAAGTTTTATTTGCTGTGAAGTCCTAGTGATAACTGTAACTCGCTGTGACATATTTCAAATACTGGGTGAATGGTTTCAGCTTGTAAATTATTAAGTTACAGTATTGTCAAAAAAAAAAAGTTTTTATGACTAAGCAAGATGTATTTGTGCTTTGGACGGAGGCTGTTGCCATACAGGTGGTTCATGTTAACTCTATGAGGTGTATGTCCTTATAAAAGTAAATTTGGGTTACACTTTTGAAGCAATGATTCCACAGGGCTATGTTCCTATCAGAACAGCCATGATTTAAGTAATTTTCAGCTAATGAAATTCTTGGCCTCATATTCCACAGCTAGGTGATGTGTTTGGGTAAGGAGAAGGGAAAAAAGTGAAGGTGGGATTTACAGGGCACCATCGAGTGGGACCCTTTGAAGCCCATGAGCTGGTCCAGGGCCATTTGAACCAGCCGATCTGGAGGGCTGAGTGTCCCTAAAGCAGGGGGTCATCTGGGTTTTAGCTGTTCTTTTACATGAATGCTTCTCAGGAATAGAGGTGCTTCATCCAGGTCTCAGGTTTTTTCCTTTTTTTTTTTCCTCCTTTTTTTCTCCCCCACCTTGTAATAGGAAAGAGCATCAGAGAGACAGCCAGCCATAGTTCAGTGATATTAGGATGTCAGTGACCAGGACGCAGCTGTGGCAGGGGCAGGACTGTATGGTCAGGTTGCATCCTGTGTTGTGGAATCACACTCAGTCTGCTGACCTGGGGTTTCCTGGATTTGATTGTCTGAACTGACACTTGTAAACTTTGTAAAACTAAGCATTTTATGCTGAAATAGAAGCAGGGGAGGGAGGGGGGCGGGGCATGAGACAGATAGGCTTAGTGCTGTCTCTGTTAATGACTAATTGAAGTAGAATAGCTGCTGCAGGGAAAATGATTCCTTCTAGACTCCTGGCAACATAATGGGTTGCACCTACATCTGGGATGAGTATGAAAAACCTAATTCCAGCTATAGATACTGGCAGCCCAGGACCCTTTGTTGAATCAGACCCGTACATGCATGTGAGTGGCTGGCAGTGGTGCCCTGCACGTGGCCACCTGAAGCCACCTGGTAGGTGAGGCAGGTCCAGAAAGGTTGAGGGTCCCGCTGTGCCTTGGCCCAGGGCATGGCAGCTCCAGGGTCTCAGTGAAGCCTAAGTGTTGGGACCAGGTGCCCGAGTTCCTTTGCGCGCGTAGGCACTGTCTCCTATTTAAACACAGATTTATGCTGCAGAATAATAAAAAATAAATTTTAAAAAGTTTGCATTTTCCTACATTTATAAATGTATATTCTTAACTGTGTAACCATCTATAAAGTAGTGACACTTATAAAACTGTCAGCCTGATTACTATGGCAAACCCCAAGTTTGACTAGAGAGGACTTTCCTTCGTGTGGCTTTCTTGTCCCTAAGGACCTGAGGCCATTCTTGGCATGCTTGGTGTCATATCTGTGAAGCAGTTCAGGGAGGCGATCAGATGTGTTTGGCAGTTAAATATGGCAGGAAATTGAAATAGGGAGGAAAAAATCACTTTGATGTTAGGGCTGTACCACTAATAATTCTTAAAATACAAGGGAAGGAAAGATTGTGTTCCACAGCCAATGGTAACTTATTGCATATGCTGTTACTCTTATTTTTGTTACATTTTATGTGTTCATGCCGGCTGAAGTAGCTTTATCACAGGGGACTGTTCTTTGCCCTTTTTCCCCCCCTTTGCTAGTGCAATTCTGCAACTACACTGAAGGTAACAGATGTAGAAACTTTTTTCTTGTGTGCATAGCTTATTCTATGCTAGATAGCAAAGGATTCAGATAAATTCTTTCTGAAACTGTGTGGTATTTGGAGAGTAACCTTGGATAACGCAAGTGCGCCGTTAACCAGAAAAAAAGCCTCCAAGTGTTTTGAGTTCAATAATTTGAAGCCAAGTTCAGCTGTTGCCCATCCCTGAGACTGCTGAATATGTGCGGGTGGAAAAGTCCAGCTTCACCACTTTCAGTGTCGAGAGCCAGGCACTTGCTTAATGGCTCATCTGTACAAACCAAGGGCTCCTTTCTCTTAAAGGCTTTATCCAGCAACATTTTAAAGGGAAACCTGCCCCATGGCAATTCTTCCACATTATGTGGAATATTTGTCAATCATTCTTATGCTTTTCTGATGAATAAGCAGTTGTTGGGACTCTCGCTTTTTATATAAAAGTGACAAATACCCTGTAAATAAAGTTCCCAGGTAGATTCTGGTACTGAGTTTGTAAACAGGAAGGCAGGCAGTGTGCTTTTGCAGAACTTGCAAACAGCCCCCTTCTCCCTCCTCCCCCTGCACATGCTTTCCCTTGAATTCAGAAGGACAGAATGAGAACCTAAGAATCTTATGAGGTTTATTGATATTTCAGTCTGTGAATAATATAGACATGTATGTTCAATTATGAAAATAGATTAAAACATTTTATAAAAATTGTACAAATTATTAAAGTCTATACCACATAATAGCTTTTAAAACTGGCTTGCAAGCCTGGTCTTTTCAGAAAAGTCTCAGCTGTTGTCCTAGAAAGTCTGATAGGCTGGTAAGGCTTCAAAATATTTGTGATTCTGTAGTTAAAACCAAATAGAAACCAGCTGAAATTAGCTAGCAAGTGTGCCTGTTTTCTGCAGAGGTGTCTTTGGGTGAGCCTCAGACAAGTTTCAGCCAGGTGCAGAGCAGACCTGAAAGATAAAAGGAAGAGATGGGTAGTCTGTGTGGCAGTGCCTGTGTTTCTCATTTGTGTCACTTCAGCCTGCAGGCGAGTTCTTAGAAGAGAAATGCAGAACTGGTTAAGATTGCAGTAAGGCAGAGTAAACAAGTGCTGTTTCAAAGCCTGTGCTTCCTGTGGACCTGCTGTCCTCACCTCTTTCTAAGCTCAGAAGTCTTACAGGTAGCAAGAACAAGAGATATCTGATTTCTGAAAAACAAGATCTCCATGAGCTTTCAATGTGGCTCCTGTTTAGCAGTAAATAACTGAGCTCTTGTTCTGGGGCACGTCTAAGATCCTGCCCCTTTCTCCTTCCAGGAAAGAAGGCGGTGAGTTTGTGCCAGAGAGTGTTTTCTGTGCAGTGTACCCTGTGTGTCCGGTGTGGGCAGCTGTAGCAAAACAGGAAGCTGTTGCCTGGGTGCTGGTAGGAAACCTCTGGTGGGAAGGCTGATTTGCAGTTTTGAAGCTCTTGCATAGCTATTGTTTGTGCTTCCTTGGTAGCACTTGACTGAATTGAGTGAGACATCAAACTATTGGAGCTGGGGGAGCTACCTCGAATTAAGCCACTGGAGTTCTAAAAATTGAATTTAAGAGATGTACATGACCTCAGAAATAAAAATAAACTTTCTACTTTGGCTGGTTTTGCATTAGAAGACTAAAAGGTTTGGTTTTTTTTTTTTCCCCCCCGTTGGTTGGTTAGGCTGAGTTGAAAAAAGAATTTATGAAGCTGTAGTTCATTAAAGAATTAAAAGAATTAAAACCAGTAATATGGTACTCCCCCCCTCCCCAAATACATGCACCAACACCACCTGGTACAGTTGTGTCTGCAGCTAGTGCAAGGAAAAATGAACTATAGCAATGGAAAGCCTTGGGGCTTAAAGTCCCTCTCAGTACCTGGTTAGTGACAACAAGAGGAAACCTTCTCTGTGCTGCAGTGACTCCCAGCATAAGAGTACAGGCAGAAGCTCAAAAAGACAATAAAAGACCCCAAACACTCAACTCCTGCAGAAATCTCCTGGCAAATGCTTTTGTGGGTGTCTTTCCACACCACAGTTACCCCGTGTTAATGCTTTGTGAGATGCAGAACCTCAGCTTGATGGAGGAAGTGGGCAAGTCTCCTGCCTACAGCCTGAACGGCCAACCAAGCGCAAACACTGGCAGTCTCAGAGCACCCCCACTATACAAGGGCCTGGGTGCTAAAGCAGTTATTTAAGGTGTGCCATCTCTAACTAAATGGGCACAACTGTCACTCTCATGTCCAGGTAATTGGTAAACAAATTGGTTACTGGATAGTCAGGGGCAGAGCCTTTCCAGTCTTAGTTTGTCCTCCTCCTAAGAGTACTTCGGTATTCACTGAGCAGACCTCTCCAGGTTCCTCTGGACATTACCTTCTCACCTCAGTGGCATCTGTTGTAACTGAGTCGTTGGGTATTCTTAGGTGTACAAGTTGGAAGGGTCTGTAGGAGTGGAACCACAGACATCGTTTAATTTATTGCTGTTAGCTACACTTTGAGGGGAGAGGAGCCACTAGCTTCCTGTTTGGTTAGAAAGCACTGAGGTGGCTTCAGTTCCTCAATCCTCCTTTGGCTGTAAAACCCAGAGTGGAGCTCTCAGGAGGGCCAGGCTTAGCTCCTGCAGCCCAGCAGCCAGACACCAGACCTCCCACAGCTGCAGATTCCCAAACGCTGAAGAGCTGAATTCCTGAAGTGTCATGTCAGGCCACTCAGACATCAAGCAGAGGTCTATCTTTGTTCCCTCCTATCGTAGTTTAACTTGCATCACCTCTGACTAAAACTCCATCCAAGCAGAGGTGAAGATTTTCATCTCCTTAAAAAACACACAACAACCACCACCACCAACCCCTGCCCGTGGAATGTCACTGCCTGTTACGAACTCCCAAGAGAGGTGCTATCTTTGTGCATTAAGACTACACTAAAAACAAAAGCTCTTTCCCCAGTAACCTAAGCAGCCTTTAGGTCTCCTGAAGAACAGTTGAGGGCCATGTAAGGATCAGCCTGAATCACTTTTGACATCAGCGATGGATGAGCTACCTATTTGCCGGACACAAGGCTCCCCTTCTGTAACATACAATGAAAAAACCAAGCAAATGGGGCACTTGGGACCTCATTGAAAATTCCTGCTGACATAAAAAAGCAAAGAAAACCACTGCCCCAGAACATCTGTAATTCTGACAGTACCTCCTGCTGAGTGACTGGGGTGAGGATGGGAACACAGGCACGGGTGAGTGTATTTTAACTTCCTTTTAGAAGAAAAGTGGTCTGGTCACAGACAGGCTCGCTGTGAAAGAGACATCTGTAATGAGGGAGGAGAGAGTTTAGTGGCTCGGTCACACAGAGAGCACAGGGATAGTGCAGGTTCCTGCCAGGGAGAGGCTGGCTTGCAGAAGGAGATCTTTGGGGGGAAGGCAGAGCAGCAGCACTGGACGACAGCGCTACCTGGAGGTAATTCTCAAGGTCCAAATCCTACCTGTCTGTGCTCTCACTGGCTCAGCTGGCCAGCAATGCCTTCTGGCAGCCAGAGTCTGGGAGGGGATTGTCCACCGGGACAAACACTGATTTCTGTCAAACTGATAGACACCAAGGCACATCCTGCAAGTGAGAGGCATCCCAGCTTTCACAAACATACCTGGTGGGCGGGGCTGAGGTTTCCAGCAATCTCAGTTTAGATATTTGTTTGCTCTACTATGCACATTTATTTAGTATTCTGTATTTAGTACCTATGTACGAGGGGAGCTAAGTATCTGTTATCCTCCTGCCTTGGGGGGTGAGTTCCAATGCACAAGAGACTTTCAAAGGCAGAAATTCTGAACTGGAGTCTTCTGAAAACATTCAAAATGAGAAGTGTAAATCCCAAATTAAACTTTTGACTACCTTTACACGGTCCTGAATATGTTATGCTGTCTCCCATTATACAGTATTAGTGCCACCTAGTAGATATTAGTGTAGTGGCCTGATACAGAGCCCACGCTGTAAGGTCAGGCCACATTATCATACTAGTCCTTTTTGACTCTGTGAAAATGAAAATCACAATGTGAGCATCTTCATCATGTCATAGATAGGTAGTTATTCTGAAATAACACTGAGCTGCTTTCAGTAATAGGAGATTTAATATCATTGTTTTAAAAGTATGTAATTCACTGTTGAGAATGAGAAATATGTTTTCAAAAGCTGGTTACTCCTTCAACAAGGATTCTAAAAGCCTTTTAGCTCATGTGGCCTGTAAGGGAAGGCAGTATTGTAGCAGGATGAGGTACTTCTTTTATCACGACTTTTTTCAATCACTTGAAAACCCAGCATTTCCCTCACAATGTCAAATGAATTTTCCATGAAAAACAGCCTCTCAACACACCAAAATGTAGCTGGATTTAAAGACATTCTTTTCTTTCTTTCTGCTTGTCTGTCTTTCCTCCCATACAGCAAACACTAACACTAGAAATAAAAACTACAGTGGAAGTAACCCAACTTTTGAAAACAAATCCTATGAAGGCTCAGGGCTTGTCAGTGTTCATTGATTTTTTTTTTCTTTCCTCTAGGTTAGCTAGATTCAAATAAATGATCCAATTTTAAATTCTGGGGCTTTTAAATTAAGTAACTCTTACAAAGCAGCAGGAACTATGTTGCAGTACTGTGAGTCCTACAGCACTGCTGCAAATACAATTATTTAGATAATGTTTCTTTCTATGTGACACTAACTTTTATGATTTATTACAAAACAAATTGTAGCCTTTCTGAAGAAAGAGGTGATTCAAGCTTTCTCAGAAGGAAAATACTGGAAGCAACAAAACTAACCAATTCCAAATCAAAATACAAATACCCAGTGACTATCCAGATCAAAAAGTACCTATAGTAAAATCTGAGATCTTCTAGAAGTTCCCACCTTTCTAAGAGTGGTATGTCTCTCTTGCCCTTCAATCTTTAATTGCTCAAATCTTTAAGATTTTTTTTTTAATTCTGTTAGGTAAACCTGTCTTTGATGTGGAGGGCTTGTCCTTAAATTTTTAAGTGCTAAAAAACCAAACCAAAACAAACCACCAAAGCACAAAAAGCTCCAAGAATTTCAAACCCAAAAATGTTTCTAACACTTCCTTTTTCCTTTTGTCTTGAAGTGTTCGCCAGATTCAACTCACATCTGCAAATACTTTTAGTCCTCTTTTCCTCTCCCTCTCACCCCATATATAGAATATAGAAAAAAAATTACCTACTTCTGCTCATTTCTTTTCATCCATCCAGGTTTTTACTTGATTCCATCTGTGTCCTGTTTGAGATCTGCATCCCATTTTTTTTCCTGAAATATACAACTTAAGTTACTAATGGCTTTTGTTCCAAGATACAACAGCACAGATAGGTTAATGTATTTTATGTCATCTTTAAAAGATTAGGTCATGATTGGTTTTTTTTACCTTCCCCCCCACCAAAAAAAAAATTAAAAAATTTGATTATAAAGGAAAGCTGTTGGACAATACAGTAAAATGTGGAATATGAGGTCACTTTCACCTTTGATCAACACTGAATCTGCAATTGTTTGATTTTAATATTTATTTCTATACTAACTACATGCATCTTTCTGTAGTTAAGAGCTTCCATTTATGGTGAACTATCCTTTAGTTTTCTTAGAACAATTGTTTGATATTCCAGGCAGCTCTCTTGGGCTGAATTCCAGTTCCCAGAGAACCACCATTGCTTTAAATAGCTGCAAATAGATTTTTAGGGCTCATTTTTAATAATTTTTTTATCAGTCTTCTGAGTGTTCTCAACTTAAAAAGTATCCTCTGGAGCACAATTAACTTGTAATAAACATAAAGAAGGCAGCTTTTGCCAGTCAAGTCTTGATAGCAGCATAATATCTGAATGATATTTTCCTCTTTTGTGTGATTTTCGTACTTCTGCCCAACTTCATAAAAGCACACTCACTTCCAGAAAAAATAGATTATCAATAACAAAATCCCTGTGGACCATGTAAAGGCTGTTCATATTACTAAAGAGTGCTTTCCATAAAACAGAAATCATAATTTCTTTTCTGAACCACCTTCTTAACCTGTCTTATAGACAGAACACTATGGTTGCCCTAAAATTTGCCAGTAGTCACTACATGCTGATAACCTTACACTATCATGAGCCACCGAGTTTGTCTACTACAACAGGAAGTCCTGTAAAACCAAACACATGAACATGATTAGAGGCTTAACAAAGTACAGACTGTATTTCCTAGGTTAAACATTTACTGAATTCTATAGGTGAAAAGCCTACAAAAAATAGCGTGATTTAAATATTTTAAAGTTCTAAGATGATTCACGTTCTGTTTACCGCTAGGTGTGTCACTAGACTAAATTTCCTACACTGAATTTCCTTTGTTACCTCAGTAACAGTAACCTCCAGTTATCCTGGGCAAACTCCCTATCACTAGTTTGCAAGTTAGGAAGCATTGATATTGTTGAATTAGTGCATTTACTCAGCCACAAAGCAAGAGTTCCATTATCTGCTAGTTTACTGCAAACCTCATCCTGTGCTTGTTCTCTTTTTTCTGAAAAAAGTAAAAGAAAGCCAAAGAAAAAACCCAACCCTGCAGCTCTCTCCCTTATTCCCAAAGCACTGACTGACTGAAGAACAGTGACCAAAACAAAGAAAGCAAGAACAGCCCCTAAGTAGCCACAGCTTCCTAGGGAGCACTGGAAGCAAGAATCAGTCTTGCCAGAGAAGCAGTGCAGTGATTAGTGCTAAGGCAAGACTGATTGTACATTCACCATCTTACATTTAAGTGAGTAAATCATAAAATATCCCAAGTTGGAAGGGACTCACTGGGATCATCAAAGTCCAACTCCTGGCCCTGCATATGACAGTCCCAAAAATCTCACCAGGAATAGTCATGGAGCAGCAGGAAAAATAAATGACTTTTAAAAATAAGAAGAAAAAAAATTACGAAGTGATAGGGGGACTTAAGTCTGACAAATGGCAGCAAAAAACTCAAAGAAATTATCAACATCAAGTTACTGTTTAAACATTAATGCTAGTAAAGATCAGATTTCCCTTTTCTCTGAAAAAGGAACAAAAAATCTTCAGATAAGAAGGCTAGGAACTGTCACTGAGAATAACTTCTGCGTTTTTATTGTCACTTCAAAACATTTTCTTCGTTTAGTTTAGGTTTAAGTGAGACTCAGGTTCAGCTACCAGTCTCTTTCCAACTGCATGAGTTTTTACTTTATTTTTTTTTATAAGGTAATGCTGTATTTAAAAGAATGACAGCAACAAAATCCAGCAGCTGAAATGAGACTGCTGGCAGATCTCTCTGCTAAAGCTGCAGAATATTCCCCTCAGACTTGCTTTTCTTCTGGCACAGTACCTGTTTTCGCAGAAACTGCACCTCTTCTGTAAGCAGCTGCTTCTCTTTGAAGAGTTGATTCTGTTTGTTGAGCAACTCCACTAACTGCTGGGCAGTGGCCTGACAGTGCTTGTCAAGCTGCTGTAACCTGGAAAAAAACAGATAAAAGAGTTGCAGAGCATCTGAAGTTGGAGTTCACAGTAGAAGCTTTGATGTTTGCACTGGCGGGTGCAGCTCCCAGAGGCCAGAGTCCAGGCGGGTGGTTGGGCTGAGACTGAAGTATTACTCCTAGGATGGGCATTCAATGTATTTTCACACTTTAAACAAGCACTTTTAAAGGTCTGCTCTTTTAATTTAGGAGCCTTATGTGGACATGACAGCAAATTTGCTTTGCTGTGACATCAATAAAGACTGCAGGATTGCATCTTGACACCTGTAGCTAAGCAAGCTGCACATTCTGTAGTTGCTTCGATAACTGTCTTCCTGAAACACACACAGATCATAAATCCAAATACCCAAACTCCCTGACAAACTGGACCTGAAGTGACAAAAACTTAAGTTTTCTGTCTACTACTCTTTGCTGGTTAATGTCCAAAACTCATTACAGAATACATTTATTTCAAGTAAGCATAGTGTTAATTAAGTATGTCAGCATAGATCCTTTATTAGTGTAACAGGGATTCCTGGGGAAAGATGTAAAGAGCCTATTACTCCAAAGGTCCTCCTCATCAGGGGGTGCAAAACAGAGGGAACAAGCTGGCAGTATCAGAAAAAACATGGAGAGGCCTTCTGCTTACACTGGAAAAATAAGTGCCTAAGATGGGACAATGCTACTGTAAGACAGAGCAAGCACACATTTACTTCTTTAATCACAAAAATGAGTATCACTTATTATGTCTCCAGTGACTGCATATTACTCCTGGCACCCAGACAGAATTAATTTCCACTCATGTAAATTTTACATCAAAACAACATTTTTTACTAGATAATCACAGGTAGCCCGTGCAAATTTCACACGTATTACTGGACACAAGCCGTGGTGCACTCTATTGTGAAGCTCTGTGTCCTTTCAAATCATGGAAGGGGTGATTGGGATAAACTACTGTAAACAAAAAGTCTTTAATTAGGGCAATACTACTCAGTTAGACTTTTCTGTTTGTAACTTCACCACCTACTGTGTTACATTTAAACTGTCCCCTTCAGGAGAGGGAGAAAGATGACACAGGCACCAAGCTGGGTTTGACTAGCAGGCCACAACTTTATCATCTGTATCTCCAGTGCTTGAGTACAGGTTTAATAACATTCCAATTTACAATTCTGGGCCATGATGGATGAAAAGGGAGCAGTTCTAGTCAGTGCAGATCTGGATCTGTGAATTCCCAAATTCTGTCTGCCAGTCTGCTCTCCCAAAATTGCTGCCAAGCTGGCCCTTGGTCCACACACTGGGACTCCCAGCCTGCTCTGGTGCATTTAGCTCCTGAGGACAGGCTCTGGGCCCTCTCACAGTATCTGCTATTATGTGTGACATGTGCAGCACAGCCACACATTCCCATATGCATTGTATCTGGCCTGCCTGCTGATCTTGTAAATGATTCAAGATGAGAAATGAACAGCTCCACCCACATTCACTGTACTTCCCATATGTTACAAATGCACATCGATGCCTGCCATCATTTTTACAACTGGGTGACAGAACCTTCTGCACATTTTGCTAATACAAGTGAGGGAGGTTGCACGGTCGCCACGCTCACTTTGGCAACACCACCTACCAGGCAACCATGTACTGTGTCCTGAGCATGAGTAACCACTGGGTCCTTGCCTCCCCGTCCGAAAAGAGATCATTTTTCCACCAAAGTGCCAAGATCTGTCCAGTTGGGATGGCATGCAGCTGCTCTCCCTTGGCCTCAGAGTGTTGATGGACAGGGACTGACTGCACGCTCTGTCATGTTACTTCAAGAAACAAGGTGAAGACATGTAGCTCTTGAACCATGTTATGTTTGGACTCCTACAGGACAACCTGGCACTAAGGAGTAAACTCCCATTTAGTAGAAATAATAATTCAAATAATAATTCAAATAATTTCCCACTAGCCACTTTAAACCAAAGTTCTTACTTGTATATGGAAGCAAGAAAGAGACAGTTTCATGAGACAAGTGGTTCCACAGAAGGAGAACACAAGTGAGGCATCACAAGTTGCAATGAATGCTTCAAGGTAAATGTTTTAATTTGATTCTCAGTATCCTCAGAGCTTATGTTAGTATGGCTACAAGCTACCTTGCTTCTTTGTGCAGCTACAATCTGAAGAAGACATCTCTCACTTCACACAGCAGTAAAATTTGGATCTGAGACTACCCTAGCCTATCAAGAAATGAAGTGAAAAGGGACAGATAGGGTTTTGTTATATTTTGACAGCTATGGCTAGACAATCACTGCAAGATCCCGCAGAAACTAGGTGAAACATTGAACACAAAGCAGAGCTTTGGCACCAAGGTGAATTCTACCAGCAGAATAAATTTCCATTGCAACCAACAGCATAAAGCTGTACTAGCACCCTCAATGTTACACTTCGGCTATCCCCTTATCTACAGATAAAAACAAAAGCTTCCTTCTTTTCTTTAAGGACACATTGCTAACCCACAACACTCTGGCTGCAAGCTCCCTGCCCTGGGGGACTAAGGTCCATTAATCTGCAGGCAATCCACAATGATGGAAAAAGCTGATACAACCTGTCAGCCTCCCTCTAGGTTTTAATGTTGATTTGAAAGAAATTAATATGCAAGGATCTGTGGGCAGTGCCCATTCACCCTGCAATGGGGATCAGTCAGTCCTTGACATAGTAGAGGCATTAAAAGGTTATTTACTCTTTCAGCATAGTCAGGTTACTGATGTAAAACGTTTTCACTTTACTCCATGGAGCTGGATTTGCTGAAATGGCGTGATTGGATTGCAGCAACCTGCAGCAGCTAAATCACTAAATCCAATAATCATGCTGCATTTACTGGCACACATCTTAATTAGGTTTTAATACAAGTAATCTGATAACTACTCCTGGCCAGCCCAAGTGGAGCTGTCAGAGCTGAAAGGGCTGTTGTTGAGCAGCTCGCCGGCACACTGCTGCGGCTGCCTCCCTGCTGACCCTGCCGAAGCCCCTCGTCTGCCAGTTGCCACGGTAACACAGGCCAGCCCATCACCTGAACAGTGGGTGCCGTGGCTGTTGGGCACCTCACGGCAAGGTCTGGGGCACTGGCCACCCACGGGGGCTACATCTCTGTGGGCGAGGGGGTGCCAGGGCGTGGCTCCTGCTGCCCCCAAAATTACGAAAACTCAACACCATGAGAATATGTTACTGTGCAGAAAACTGCCTTTAAAAAGCATTTCCCTTGTCAGGGCAAGAGTGTCAAGTTATGAGTTTCTAAGGTTGCTCCTGCATTGCTTGTTTGCCTGTAGGTAGATACAGTGAAGAGAGGTGGCTTCTGGTTCTGAGTGGGAAAACCAAGGGCCATGTTGCAGACCTCTGCCATGCTGCAGGGATGCAACTGAAGGGGGCTGTGCCCCAACCTGAAGGCAGTGCCACATTCTGTAATCAGGCATTTGCAAATCTCAAATATTTTTAACATACTGTGAGTTCGAAAAGCAAATGCAGGTTTAAGAATAAGTTTGTTACAAAAGGAGGGAGCAAGCCAATTAGAAAAGAAAGCTAACCCCAGCAAACTTTCCATCAGCAAACCTCTACCTGCTTTTATAATTTTTTTTCAGAACATTGTACAAATTTAATATCACATGATAGGAAGTGTTTAAGTTTTGGTACTTAACAGATAGTTGTACTACAACCCATTAAAGGATATTAAATTTGTATACTCAAGTAGTCAAGAGTTAGAAAACGCCAGAAACAAAGGCTTTCTATGCAACTCCTTCCCACCCTGGTTCCCAGCTCCGTGGCTGTTCCCCTGCCCAGCCTTGCTCATCTCCTCCTGAGGCAGTTATCCACCACAATCCTGCTAAACAGTTTCAGTGTAAACCACAATTTTTGGCAAGCCTAATGAAATCACAAAGAACTTCAGAACTGCCTTATAATAAGGAGCATCACACACCCTTAAATACAAACTCTGATGATCACAGTTCCTGACACAGATAGAGCAGGCACTGCCTAATGTCATATCCTCCTACATACAGAGCAATGATCAGGCTTTGCTTTGTCTATGATGATCTTGGAAATCCAGACTTGCTGCCAGGCAAAGCGTTAAGGTGTATGGCTGGTGCTCATGGTGAGCTTGTTTCTGCAGCCACAACTGCCCCAGCTGCTGTCACTCCCCACCTCTCTTGCAGGGTTGGCAGCATGGGTCCCCTCTCCTTTCCATGGTCTTAAGCTCTGCCAGGGGAGGTTCAGGTTAGATATTAGGAAGAAATTCTTTACAGAGAGGGTAATAAGGCATTGGAATGGGCTGCCAGTGAGGTGGTGGATTCCCCATCCCCAGAGGTTTTTAAGATGAGACTGGATGTGGCACTTAGTGCCATAGTCTAGGAACCACGGCGGTAGTGGATCAAGGGTTGGACTTGATGATCTCAGAGGTCCCTTCCAACCCATCTGATTCTATGATTCTATGATTCCACCTCAATTCTGCTAATTTTCTGTCTTCCCTTTTCATTGCAGAAGTAATGTTGTCATTTTCTTCAAGGCAGAAAAATTTATGTTCACGGCCTCTTTGTATCTTGAATCAGCTCTGTGGACAATTAGGTCATTGAAACCAATAGCAAAATTAGTTCTCATATGAGCAACCTGCATCTTCAGTGTGGCTTACAGCATCAGCAAATTCACACAGTAAATTTTGAGGCAGGAAAATTAGAGTCTATAATTTTAGAAATGCCGACAAATAGCAAATTGAACCCCAAAGTTTCACTAGTGTCCTAAATTACTATTTACTTTAGATCTTGACCCATATATCAAGGCCTTTAGACAACCTTAAGAGATAAGCATCTCAGAGAAGTCCCCACATACTCCCAGAATTTTAACAGGAACATCTACACAATCTATCCTTTAACCCAGCTCTGTTCTCTCATCTACTTTCAAAAGCAAAACACTATGATCCACCTTTCTCATGTTAATGAACTAAAAAAAGCATAAGAGAAAAAACACAGAGACCAAAAAGC